TTTTTGAGTGTTTCCATTTTTGAGAAATCGATAACCGGATAATTCGAGTCTTGAATTTTTTGGTTTTCCTTGAAAAAATAAGAAATAAGAATGAGTTTTATCCAAAAACCAGGTTTCTAAGCCGTCTAGGAGCTGAGATACAGTCGTTTGGAGTTAGGCAGGCTAGAGATGCAGACAACGAGACACTCTAGCTGTCTGCGTCTCTTCGAAAGTTCGGCGTCTAGAAGAGCTAGAACTTTGATAATTTCAGATTTTCAAAATGAAATTTCACGAGAGATCTGAAAAAGAATCAAAAATTCAAAAATGACAGAGAAAATATTATCTATTCACATCAGAAAACTAACATAAATGTAGCCGTAATTCTTCTGGGAAAAATAATAATCAAGATAATCAAATCAGCTATATTTTGATCTCTCCCATTCTCTTTGCTCGCTCAAGAATCGCTCCGAAAAAATGAATTTGTTTGGAGCAAACCACAAAACGTTTCTCTGCGTCTCTCCAGTGTTTTGGTATCTCTAATTGCTAAAAGAAAAACAAGATAAATCAAAAAATCAGACTAGAAAAATTTTGGACCTTGAATTTTTAGGATATCAGTCTTTTTTTAAAATCAACTAATACAATTTTTGAGAATTTAGAGACAAGGATTATCAATAAGGGAGAAAGTGATGTATGTTATTTTTTGTGAAAAAAAAATTTTTTTGGAAAAACTTTTCGTGGGAATGTCTATCTAGAAAAATCCTATGATTAAGAATAACTTGTGTATTGGAATATCGGAAATTTCAGAAATTCCGAGGAAATACAAATTTAAGAATTTCTAGAATCACTGAATTTTTTGAAATCTGAAAAAAAAACATGTAAACCTTTTTTTTTCAGCAAAGATCAGAAAATCTTCTAGCCAAAAATTTTTAACTTGTCTGGAAATCTGTAATTTTCTAGAATTTTGAATGCTCTGATTGGTTCGATGTATTCAAATTTTCAAAGTTTTGTTTTTTGAGTTTTGGAGTCTTAGACTTTGATTTTTCTATAATTTTTCAAAAATCTCGGTGCCTATTTTTCCAAAAATAATGAATTTTCCGGAATTTCAGGAATTGACAATTTTCGTACTTTTGGACCCTCTCAGCTGTGTCTAAACTGGTCATGATGATGTATGGCATGTTTTTTGGTATGTTTTTTTCTTCCCAGAAGTCAAGTAGACAACAATTTCTGTTATTTGTGTCCAGATGTTTCCCCCCATTCACTTTTACACTCGTCAGGTGTAATTAGTACTCAATAGGCACTCTATGGATTATACTTAGGTGAAAGGATGTTCTTATTTTTAGTACACACGTTTTTTTTCTGTTCTTGAAGTTACTGTGGCTCACCAGGTAACTCGCTTTATTTCCATTGTTTTTTTAGGTTGCACATTTTTATTTGAAACAGTCGAAAAAGCCATTTTGGCTAGTAAATTGTTGAAAAATGACAATTTTAGGTCTCCTGAGAGCCGAGATACAGCCAATTGAAGTTTGGGAGGTTAGAGACGCCAGACAACGAGACACGCTGCGTCTTCAGCCTCCTAATCTTCAAATGGCGGTATCTCGGCACCTAGGAGAGCTAGAAAGCTTGTTTTGGGACAGAATTGAAAGTAATTTTAGCTGTGTCTCGATTCGAAAAAAATCTGACAATTTTAGAAAAATTTTGAATTTCGAAAAAAATTGAAAATGAGCAAAAGTGCTGAATATTTGTAAAATATCAAGAGAGCTCCAGTTTGGTACAAAGAGGACGTTTCAGGCCACCTAGAAGCCCAGATACAGCGGTTTAAAACTCAAATGGTTAGAGACGCAGTGTGTCTTGTCGTCTGGCGTCTCTAGCCTCCCGAAACTTCAAATGGCTATATCTCGGCTTCGAGATGAGCTAGAAAGTTGAAAACTGGACAGAAATGTGTGAAAGACAGTTGATTTTGGGAAGAAAGGTTTCTGAGAATTCGAAAAATTTGAATTCCAAAATATAGATTCAGATTTTTGGATTTTCAAAAAATTTTCAAATTTTCAGAAAACGCTAATGCTCTCCAAATATACTGTTTTTCACACAATTCTGTCTAAAAATCAACTTTCTAGGTCATCTCGAAGCCGAGATACAGCGATTTGACGTTTAGGAGGCTAGAGACGTCAGACGATGAGACACACTGCGTCTCTACCCTCATGAAACTTCAAATGACCATGTCTCGGTTTCTAGATGAGCTAGAATAGTGGTTTTTGGACAGAACTGCGTGCAATAGAGAGAAGTATTAGATTTTTGGGATTTTTCAATAATTTTTGGAATTTAGATATTGCTAGAAAGGTGATTTTTAAACGAATTTGTCATAAAAAATTTAGGCTATTTTCGGAAAACTTAATTTTATGGCTTTTTTTCAAAATTCCAATAATTTCAATGTTCTGATACATGATGACATTGAACATTGAATTTGGAACATTTCTGTTAAACTTTCATGAAACTTCAAATGACTGTATCTCGGCTCCTCGAACAACTAGAAACTTGTTTTTTTTGACAGCATTGAAAGGTCTTTTGGCTGTTTTAAGCTTTTTTTTGATGGAGCATATTTTTTCAAAATTTAGTATTTTTGCTAATTAGAATTGCTGGAGAATCGCTCTGGAAATTTATGATAGTCGCGTAGCTTTGTTTGAGGTATTTTTTTCTGAAATTTTCAAATAATTTCCTCCTTACGTCATTCTATATTAGAACTGTTCCACCTACCTAAAAACTGGCTCTCCGAATTCTTTTGGTTGTTAAGTTCACTTGAAGTTTCGTCGCTAACCCCCGTCTGACTCATTTTCCAGTTTTTTGCTCAAATATTTCTTTTTCGGCAGTTAACCTAGGTACCTATAAAATTCATTTTTCCTTCGGGACATTTACCTTCGAGTTACGGTTTTTTTAAAACTTGAACTTGATTATAATTCCCTTAAAATTGCTAAAATCAGGACTTTGAAACTTACAAACTGAACATGCGGCCGAAATTTCAAAAATCTGCTTTTTTTTAAGTTTTCAAAGTTTCTCAAATTTCTAAAATAGCTAAAAGCTAAAAGCTTGAAATAGTCGATTTTGAGAAATTCAGTATTTCAGAATTTTTGAGTTTCTAAATTTGAAAACTTCTGCGTTTCTGGCATTTTGGGTACCGTAAACCGGTATTAGAAGGGGCCATGTAATAGGAGGACCCCTCTAATAGAAAGCTACAGGTTTTACGGTATTTGAAATTTTCTGAGTTTGTTGGAAATGCACATTTTCAGAATTTCAGAATTTCTGAGTTTCTGCATATTTTGGGGATTCCGGGAACTTCTAAATTGGAAATTTTCAAAGGCTCCATTTTTCTGAATCTTTGGCTTTTCTGGAATTTCGGGAATTTCCACTTTTCTGAATTATTGAGGCTTTTTCGATATCCTGAAATTCATAAAAAGCTGAAATTTCAAAATTCCAGTTTTTTTGATTTTCCGAATTTCTGAAAATCTGGAAGTTTTTCGAATTTCTTTAATTTCTAGAAATTTCAGATTTTCCTTTTTTTTCAAATTACTGAAATTCCAAGAATTCCAGGGGTGTCTCATTTTTGGGATTTTTAAAAATTTTGAGAATTCTAATTTCAAAAATTTCAGAAAAAATTTCTTTCAGAATCTCAGAATCTCAGAATCTCAGAACCTCAGAACCTCAGAATATCAGAATCTCAGAATCTCCGAATCTCAGAATCTCAGAATCTCAGAATCTCAGAATCTCAGAATCTCATAATCTCAGAATCTCAGAATCTCAGTACCTCAGAATCTCAGAATCTCAGAATCTCAGAATCTCAGCTTCTCAGATTCTCAGAATCTCAGAATCTCAGAATCTCAGAATCTCAGCTTCTCAGATTCTCAGATTCTCAGAATTTCAGAATCTCAGCTTCTCAGATTCTCAGATTCTCAGAATTTCAGAATCTCATAATCTCAGAATCTCCGAATCTCAGAATCTCAGAATCTCATAATCTCAGAATCTCAGAATCTCAGAACCTCAGAATCTCAGAATCTCAGAATCTCAGAATCTCAGAATCTCAGAATCTCAGCTTCTCAGATTCTCAGATTCTCAGAATTTCAGAATCTCAGAATCTCCGAATCTCAGTATCTCAGAATCTCAGAATCTCAGAATCTCAGAATCTCAGAACCTCAGAATCTCAGAATCTCAGAATCTCAGAATCTCATAATCTCAGAATCTCAGAATCTCAGCTTCTCAGATTCTCAGATTCTCAGAATCTCAGAATCTCAGAATCTCCGAATCTCAGTATCTCAGAATCTCAGAATCTCAGAATCTCAGAATCTCAGAACCTCAGAATCTCAGAATCTCAGAATCTCAGAATCTCAGAATCTCAGAATCTCAGAATCTCAGCTTCTCAGATTCTCAGATTCTCAGAATCTCAGAATCTCAGAATCTCCGAATCTCAGTATCTCAGAATCTCATAATCTCAGAATCTCAGAATCTCAGAACCTCAGAATCTCAGAATCTCAGAATCTCAGAATCTCATAATCTCAGAATCTCAGCTTCTCAGATTCTCAGATTCTCAGAATTTCAGAATCTCAGAATCTCCGAATCTCAGTATCTCAGAATCTCAGCTTCTCAGATTCTCAGATTCTCAGAATTTCAGAATCTCAGAATCTCAGAATCTCAGTATCTCAGAATCTCATAATCTCAGAATCTCAGAATCTCAGAACCTCAGAATCTCAGAATCTCAGAATCTCAGAATCTCAGAATCTCAGAATCTCAGCTTCTCAGATTCTCAGATTCTCAGAATCTCAGAATCTCAGAATCTCCGAATCTCAGTATCTCAGAATCTCATAATCTCAGAATCTCAGAATCTCAGAACCTCAGAATCTCAGAATCTCAGAATCTCAGAATCTCATAATCTCAGAATCTCAGCTTCTCAGATTCTCAGATTCTCAGAATTTCAGAATCTCAGAATCTCCGAATCTCAGTATCTCAGAATCTCAGCTTCTCAGATTCTCAGTATCTCAGAATCTCAGAATCTCAGAATCTCAGAATCTCAGAACCTCAGAATCTCAGAATCTCAGAATCTCAGAATCTCAGCTTCTCAGATTCTCAGATTCTCAGAATTTCAGAATCTCATAATCTCAGAATCTCCGAATCTCAGAATCTCAGAATCTCAGAATCTCAGAATCTCAGAATCTCAGAATCTCAGAATCTCAGAATCTCAGAATCTCAGAATCTCATAATCTCAGAATCTCAGAATCTCAGAACCTCAGAATCTCAGAATCTCAGAATCTCAGAATCTCATAATCTCAGAATCTCAGCTTCTCAGATTCTCAGATTCTCAGAATNTCAGAATCTCAGAATCTCCGAATCTCAGTATCTCAGAATCTCAGCATCTCAGATTCTCAGTATCTCAGAATCTCAGAATCTCAGAATCTCAGAATCTCAGAACCTCAGAATCTCAGAATCTCAGAATCTCAGAATCTCAGCTTCTCAGATTCTCAGATTCTCAGAATTTCAGAATCTCATAATCTCAGAATCTCCGAATCTCAGAATCTCAGAATCTCAGAATCTCAGAATCTCAGAATCTCAGAATCTCAGAATCTCAGAATCTCAGAATCTCAGAATCTCATAATCTCAGAATCTCAGAATCTCAGAACCTCAGAATCTCAGAATCTCAGAATCTCAGAATCTCAGAATCTCAGAATCTCAGCTTCTCAGATTCTCAGATTCTCAGAATTTCAGAATCTCAGAATCTCCGAATCTCAGTATCTCAGAATTTCAGAATCTCAGAATCTCAGAATCTCAGAATCTCAGAATCTCAGAATCTCAGAATCTCAGAATCTCAGAATTTCATAATCTCAGAATCTCAGAATCTCAATTTGTCATAAAAAATTTAGGCTATTTTCGGAAAACTTAATTTTATGGCTTTTTTTCAAAATTCCAATAATTTCAATGTTCTGATACATGATGACATTGAACATTGAATTTGGAACATTTCTGTTAAACTTTCATGAAACTTCAAATGACTGTATCTCGGCTCCTCGAACAACTAGAAACTTGTTTTTTTTGACAGCATTGAAAGGTCTTTTGGCTGTTTTAAGCTTTTTTTTGATGGAGCATATTTTTTCAAAATTTAGTATTTTTGCTAATTAGAATTGCTGGAGAATCGCTCTGGAAATTTATGATAGTCGCGTAGCTTTGTTTGAGGTATTTTTTTCTGAAATTTTCAAATAATTTCCTCCTTACGTCATTCTATATTAGAACTGTTCCACCTACCTAAAAACTGGCTCTCCGAATTCTTTTGGTTGTTAAGTTCA